ACGAATTCTTATGTTTATATTATCATCTTGACATTATATGGAAAAAAAGGCCACAAACAGGAAATGGATATCAAGAAGTTATCATCAAACCCACAGATTGGCGTATTACATTACTTTTATGTCTTTTTCTAATTCTTATTAAGGCTGCGATTACCACAGTAATGGCGGCAAAATAACACATGCAAAAATAGCAGCCAGTTATTTAAAATAGTAAAAATATTTTCTGCTTTGCTAAATGGACTCTAAATAAAGCAAAGTTTTGGCTTTACTATGGGCAATTTTCACTAGTAATACCATCTGTATCTGTAAGGTGTGGAGGATAAGTTACCCTACGGCACTTATGTCTCACTAGGCCCACTATGCATCCTCCTAAGATAATAAACACTTCCTAGCTCGTGAGCCAGCTTACAGATTTGATGTAGTTGACAACGTCGCCAAGAGGTGCTTCTCTTATATCGGCCGGTGTTAGTCGATAATCGCCGAACAGAAGTATAATAAATGAGAGCGTAGAGAATATGCTCGATAGTCTTCTTGTTCGCACCCCCTTTTTTTTAAAGAGATGGAAATCTTCCAAAGACTATTTGAGACGTGAACCCAGACGTGCAGGATTCTACCGATAAGCGATAGCCTACCTACTAAAACCACCTCTTGTCAAAGAGACGCTGGTACAACTCTTGCGAGCATTGCTTCATCGGCTCTGTCAGTCTTTACATTATCTTCCTTGATTGTATCTTTCCTTTTTTATACTTCATAATCTTTATTAATTCTTTTGTTCCTTCGACCCATTTCGTTTTGTTGGCCATAAGTTTGGACATAATATTTTCCGGGGTTATTTCAGCTTCTAGTGATAATTCTATTATTTGTCTGTATCTTGCCCATCTATTGCATTTGAAAAATGTGTGTTCCACCGTATCCTACTCCTTACAGTGTATACAATTACTGTCCAACCAGCCGTATTAAATGCGTTTCTCACGTCTATAAGAATTAGTGTACTTCAGGTATAATTTCATCCCTTCACCAGATTTATTACAGATTCTATAGCATCTACTCTTGATCTACCGCTCCTAAATCCAAATTGTGCTCCAGAGATAGCACCCTTTTCTTCCAGCTCTACCTCAAGTCTTCTTTTTATTAGTTCTTCAAACAGCTTTCCCAATATATCGATTAGACAAATTGGCCTATAGCCAGTTCCCCTTTTCGGGATTAAGATAACCTTTGCTCTCTTCCATGCAATAGGGAAGTCCTGCAGATGCAACATACCATTGAATATATTCAGTATTTTTAGTGGGAACTCTTCAATTGCTATTTTCACTGACTCCGTAAAAATACCATCTAGACCAGGGGCCTTGCCTGTTTTCAATTTTTCTCCGGCTTCTTTAAGTTCCTGGACATTAGAGTCTTTAATTTTTCATATTTTTCCAGCTCATACGGAGAGTTAAAGCGCGCTATCCTGTCAGTAACTAGTTTGTAGCCTTGTCCCCAGACGTCTTGTTCAAGTTGAGATTCTTTCAACTTTCTCTTTTCGCCTTTTTCAAGTCTTTCCTAGTCTGCTTATAATCGTCTTCCAATCGCGCAGTTTCTACGTTGTTTTCTCTAGTTCTAGATTCCTTCTTGCTACATTACATTCTTTCCTTATTCTATTTATGATTTCGTTCCACCAGCAGGGTTGCATTCTTGTGGTGCCTGCATGTCTTTCCAGGCTTGCATTCTGTGGGTTTTTTACTCAGTTCGTAAAGCTTTGTACCGTATTGCTAGCCTTTGGGCATGTGAGTTGCAGAGAGCATCTGAACACCTCCAGATCTAAGAGTGGTTTCCTTTTCCATGAGGTTAATTATTTTCCGGTTAAATTTTGGATTACAAAGCTAATATATTTGTGGTAACTGAGCGATTCTTCATTCCACACCAGTTTTTAACAATTCTTGATATTTTTGAGGTTGAGATTGTAACATCTATATGAGTTTTGGACATTGTGGACAGTCATATTCAGTACTTGCATTCATTCTACAAGATATTCTCCTCTGGGATCTAACCGAGAATTTCCCCAGGTTATTGATTTCGCGTTAAGGTCGCCCGCAACAACTGCTGATGGTATCAATAAATGCTTTATACGTTTCTAGATCCACATTTGGCGATATGTAGCAGTTATATAAGGCCCAATTCCCAAACCTTAGTTTGACATATCCTTCAGCTGTGGTATGCTTTATTACTCCAGTTTCTATTTCTTAGGTAAACAACTGTATCGATCCTAGGGTCTTTTATCCAGTCTTTCCTTTTTGAAATCATGGCTTTATTGGGTTTCTGCATCAATATAATATCCATCTCATGTTTTTCTGACGTAGCAACTGCCAGGTCTAGCGATCTTGCACTTCGGTCTATATTAATTAGGGTTCGTTAAATTTACTTATCTTGGGTTGGGTTAGTTGTCTTGTCAGCCGCATCTGCCTTTGCGATGATTGACTCTAACGATTCCTGTTCCTTGGATGAATCATCCATCTAGAATGCACTAGAAAATCCAACAATATTGATTCATAAAACATTAATAATAAAATCCATTTTTCATCATTCATCAAATTATGAACAACATTAAATAATGAAATCAAACAGGATATTTCGGGAAGATGATAAACACCTACCTGTTTTTAAACAGCATTTTACAATAAACGCTATGTCCTCCTACGCGTTGTGGAAAATTTTATATTTGATTTTTACATTGTCCCAATATTATAAAAAACAGTGTTCGTTTTTTTCATTGTGTAACAGATATCACTAAAAGTAGACATATCAGTTCTTTATATCGGGTAAAGGAGGTATCAAAAGAAATTTATATATCAGTATGTTTTATTAAAAAAACTTTGTTCGTCAAGAAGAGGAGGACACTGTAGTACTCGTACTGTACTACTTCAAAGACTGCGATTCCTTATACTTGGCAAAAACAAAGCCAAATAGCTACACACGAAAGTTTCTTTCCTAGGCTAAATCTTTAAAAATCAATTAGAAAAATACCAATCTAAATAAATTGCTCTAAGAATGTTAACAAATTGTGCAGATCTATTGTGGTATACAATGGATCTGTAAAGGTCAAGGTGAGGAAAAGCTTAACAAAATTAATTTTATCTTTTACCCTTGAAAATACATTTGTTTTGTGTTTATATGTCTGAAACAGTGATTTCAAATTTCAAAATCCTTTGGCAAGTCAATTATTTATTATCTGTGTGTTGCTACAAAGCCCGGTTACTCCTTTTTGCTTTCATATTTAATTAGAGTATTCCAACGATTTGAACCAAATATATTTCCCTGAAATTTGCGAATTTGTTTATCTCTTGCTTTCAAACCACTTTAATCTGATAAAATGTTTTAATGTTAGCTACCATTTAATTTTCCCAGAAACAGATTTAATTTTCCGAAATAAATATATAAACAAAGTTAAAATGAAAATGTTCAATTTGTTTAGATAAAATTTATGTGAGTTTGGCAATGACTGTTTTAATCAACAAGCCCAACTATTAAAACATCAAGTAAGAGCTTACAGTGATATCGAATATTCTCTATAACAAAATCAATTGCTAAAAATATAACGGATATGTAAGGTAGCGTGCATGGAACAAAATGTGGAGGGTTTGATTCCGTCCCGAGACAGTTTTTAAATTTTTCAATAAATTTGTTGTTACATTAGAGGTTCAAAAATGTTTCAATGTTTCGTATGGGTAATTTAAAAAAAATTATTCGGACATTTTCAAAGTATTGTTTTTGGAGTTATTCGGAATTCTAAATCTATCTATTCTTAAAAAAATATGTGTTGATGGGTTAAAAAAAGGCAATCTCCAAATTGATACTCATAAATATTGAACACCCTACAGATTTTTTTTTTGATACAAGATTGTTGCAAGCAATCCCAAGATTTTGGAGATTTTTTATTTTTAGATAGAAAATTTACAAATCTCAATCACAGCCGTTGCAGCATCAGTTGCCGGGATAATTTAGTGCAACTGGATTATTTGTTTCAAACTAAATGGGTAAACAAGTTTTTGGAAGAAGTAAAATTAGTAGCAAAAGAAAACATTTTAAGTTTCATTAAAGAAAATGATCTCTGCTTATTGGCTACAGTATTAGATCCCCGTTGCAAAGCTGTATTATTTACTGCTAAAAAGACGAAAACGAGCAAAATAAAAGTTATAAAAAGGTAACAAATATTTTAAAATAGACAATATTGACAAATAGCAGCTGTAGTCATGACAAAAGCAAACATCTCGAGACCTTTTCAATCTGAATCACCGAATTGAAACTTCAGCCTTTTACAGGTACAAAAACAGAATGTCCCAAAAGTTTTTATATGAATAAGAAATAATCTGTTTTTAATAATTTTTGTAGGCCACTAAACATCTTTTACAAATACAAAGTAAGCATATAGTACAACACAGCCACAAACGTATGAGTTACAGAAAAAAATAGAATTGGATTTGTATTAACTACTGAAAAAACAAATCTAGATTTTCAAAAATGAAAACATTGCATCTCGTTATTTCTCAATGCCAGATGGGTCTGTCTTTTCTGAACAAATTTTTTCTGAAACGCATGATATCATCATACATCCAAACAGAACATCGCTTACGTCTGTAAACTAATATTCCTTAAAAATAATTTTTACTTTTTAACTTAAATGTATCGTTTTTATCTTGACTGTGTTTGATATTTTGTTTTTTGTGCTTCATTAAAAATATTATTTTTGAACCTAAGTTTTTATCTGAATTTCAGATAAGTAAAGTATCAGTATCTGAGGTATCGGTATATGAGAATATCGACCCAACCCTAGTAGAATATTTACATTCTTAAAATAATAGTGATTTTAAAAAATTTGCAGATTTTTTCGGAAAATGTATTGTAATAAAAGATGTTATTGCAGAAAAATATCGAATTTGTTATTTGGTTATTTACCAGCCTTGAAAAATACACAAAAAATATTTAATTAATAAATTATTGATATGATACTTTATTTTTTTCAGACGGGAACAGTGGCCGTTATTTTCAAGTTATACGTGCTGGCAGCAATTGGTTGCCCAAACAAAGAATTTAAGTAGAGATCATGCTGCCTTATCCGAAGTATATTCTACTCATCTAGTTGCTCGCCTATCGCAAGTCATGGAAGACGTCCAGCGAATTTACAAACGAGTAAGCTGGGAAAATATATACAATAAAATTATTTTAAATATTCATGCAGTTCTAATAACACCTGAAGAACTAGTCACCAATAGCTCTTCTTGCTGATCTAAATCCTAATACTTAAACAAAAATCACACCAATCGCTGCCCTGAACTTGTATACGATAAAAAGTTGTTTTTCGTTAGATGGTGTCACACCTATCGAGATCTGGAAAAATTGTACCTCATTAGTGGAATCTATTATAAGATACTGTATCCCAGCATGGGGCGCAGCTTACAAAACAGCATTAAATAATTTACAAATTGCACAAAATTTAATCGTAAAAATAATATTTAGGAAAGATAGATTATTCTCCACACAAAATCTATACCAAGAAACCAGTATGCTAAATATCCGATTAATATACAGGGTGTTTTAAAAAGATATGTCATAAATTATTCCTCAGATAGATTACCAAAAAATAAGTGGATTTGGCTAAATTTACCTATATCAAAAACTGGAACATTAACAAAAACGATTTTTTTTTGTAAAAAGTATGCTGTTGCGTTTTTTTTCTTTGAATTTTTTGCCAGAGCTGTAGATTTGAAGGCCTAATATTCTAAAAAAAAAATTAAAGCGGCCTCCTTAAAAAAAGTTGGGGGGTATTTTTTTGACATAAAGAAACTTGCTTTATCGATCTTAAAATCAAAAAGAACTATGAATTTTTAATTTTTTTTATAGCGAACTGAACTTTGTATCTTTCTTAGTTAACGAGTTATTTACAATTTTTCAACAGATTTTCTAGAGCAATTCGTCGGTCCTGGACTTAACAGATCAACAAAACTAAGAGTAGGTCAGGAGTTATTGTACAAAAAACGCATATAAAAATCAGTGGTGTGCCTAGGGTTGTGCTTGAGCCGCCCCTGCAAAAACTACCTCTTTTATTTATATTTTTGTATTCAAGAAGGAGGAGGACATGTTGAATATTTACTAAATTAAAAGTTTATAAAATATGTATAATAATTATTGTCAAGTGATTATTTTTAATTGTTTTATTTTGTTAATTGTTTAATTAAAAAAATATTTTTTTTAATTACTATTAAATTTATTAAACACATTTTCAAACTAAGGTGTATTTTTATCAGTGGCATGGTGAACCCATGAAGACGGGTGGCACACCATTTTTATGGCGCCAATCCAATATTATAAATACCTTTTTTACAATTAAAAAACCGACTTCAAATTCGTGCAGATGCCCTTAAAAATTAAGATTTTTTATTTTCTCATAGATCATCAGATCTTGACCAATTGTATACGCATTTACCCCTGAGGTACCCCCTTTCTAACAAAAAAAGAATCACTGAAATCGGACGCCGTGTTAAAGAATTATCGCTGAACATATATAAAAAACAATATTACGACGGCCCTCCTCCTTTTTTTGAAGCATGTTAAAAATATAAATAAAAGAAGTAGTTTTTGCAGGGGCGGCTCAAGCACAGCCCTAGGCACACCACTGATTTTTATATGCATTTGTTGTACAAAATCTATTGCATTTGCTGTTGATAGGTTTTCTCATTATACTTACAAAATGTTAGCACGACCCTCGTATGAAATTGCGATCTGCAATCACTTCCAAATTCTTCTAGGAGTAAGTTAGCCCAGCATTGATCAAAATTAATAATTTAGTTATTGTAAAATCCTCGAATTAAAATGTTTTGTTCAACGCCGCGTACAGACCGAGTTTCCAATCCAAACCAAAACACGTATGGGAAGCTGTGTGAAGCCGCCCCCTCGTAACTATGAAATATAATTTTAAAAACCTTTTTGGATTTTTCTTATGCCTTCCTGTCGATTGACCATTTTTTCCAAGTCGAAATTCGATTTGGAAATTTATTTTTCGAATTTTCACTCTTTGGGGTCATCATAATTACTTTAGGGTGTGGTCAAACGTCGGAACATAATTCTAAACTATTAGGCATCTTTATTGTACCCTTAAGTCGATTGACTATTTTTTCTTAGTCGTATTTTGACCCCCTCTGGAGTCTATTGATTTATTTTTATATATAATTTTAAACGTCTTTGGATCTTAATTGTGCCTTCCTGACGATTGTTTATTTTTTATGGTTAAGATTCGTCCCAGAATTCTTGTTTTTTTATATTTACCTCTTTTATTTTTATTTTAAGGGGTGGTAAATATAAATATACAGTCACCTGGCCGAAATTCCTACATCGGAAGTAGCACAATCGGACGACATAATGCTTGCGAAGTTATTTTTTTATTGTTATAGACGTCTAGAAGTATATTATTTTATTGCGAGCAAAAAACAAAAAATCCATCGTTAAGCAAATTTACTTTAAATTTGACAGGTTACACAATAGCTCAATCCACCGGGACATAGTACATGTTCACCCCAACTACAAATAGCAAAAAAATGAGGGAATACATAGTTCCTGTATTCAGTTACTTTGCTTTAAGATATCAAAAACGACAGTGATTTGAATCTGGATTATTTTTGTAGAAACCACATTTCGATTACAGTGTCAAAATTCGAAACGTTAGCATTGCTATACTTTTTATGCAAAGAGCACAATGTATTACATGATATAAATCATTTTATTCTTACAGCTTGATGGCAAAAATTGGGAAAGTTTTAATGAGAACCATCGAGACTTTTATGGAAGATAATATTTTACAAGCACCCATCTAACAATAGAAAATACATACATTGTATTACAAGCTGAGACGGTTTTTGGCATTTATCAAGATCTCATCGAAGAAAAGTATCACATTCTCAGAGCCGTATCTAGGAACAAACTAAAATGTTTTTAATAAAATTTGCTTTTTTAATCATTAAATTTTTAATAATATACAGTATGTCCCCCTGGGTTGGAATCATATGGAAAACTTTTTTATTATTAATTTTAGGAAAAAAGTTATTCTTCATAAAAAGTTCTGCGTTATCTAAAACCTAGAATACAGTCATCAAATATCAAAATTTTTCAGTGGTATACGAGGTTTGTCAAAAGTAAGGAGTAAAGTACCTTTATTCTTTATACGACTGATAAAATTTGATATCTGATGGTTGTATTTTAGGTTTTAGACCATGCTCGACTTTTTATAAAGAATAACTTTTTTCCCAATATTAATAATAAAAAAGATTTTTATATGCCGTCAATTTACGACAGTTGGTGGCAGAGCAAAGCTTTTTTTATTACTAATTTTAGGAAAAAAAGTTGTTCTTTATAAAAAGTCGAGCATGGTCTAAAACCTAAAATATAACCATTAAATAGAAACGAAACGTTGTATAAAAAAACTGTCTACGGTAAATTAAGCGCTACTTAATACCAAATAAAAAATCTAATTACAATTTTTTTTTCTAATTTGTAAAATAAAGGCAATACAATCGAAAATAGTCATTTGGTTTTCCTTAAATATTTTGGAATCCGGTCCTGATGTTCTCGGTTTTAAAACATCACTAAATTAGTCTTGCAAAAGTACAACTTTTTTCCCATTTAACCGACTTTGTAAGGTAGCAATACTGTTCAATATAAAAAGTAGCCACCCTGTATACATAAACCAATAATCAATATACATACAACAACATGCAGATCTACTCAAAATAATTTTTTTGCTTCTTTAAGCACTTAAAGTTATGCAGGAGTGATCCACAAACAATGTGTCTAAAGTAGGACATGACTGACAAAGACAAAGTTTATGAGTCACGTCTGTGATAACTACAAACGTCTCTGAATTAAAAAGAGACATACATGATTCTTTACATGGTCTTCTTTAGAAACATTTTTAGTAGATCACTCCAGACATAAAGATATAACCCGCCCAAAATTAAAGATAAAGAGCGTTCAAATTTGATGAAAATTTATGTAAAAATGTCGCATTACTTTGTCTCAGTGTCGGGAAATTGGTTACGAGACCCACGAAGAAATCCTTCGAGTTTTACACGAACTCCACACAACTATGAAAACATATCACAGCTACCAAGCAGAACTCCGACAGGCCGAAACTAAATTAAGAACTGCCGAACTTCAAAGGAGCAAGTTGGAACAGAGTTTCTCACAGGATAAGTTAGAACGTTCCAAGAAGTACAAGTTGATGGAAAAGGAAGTTATGAAGGTAAGTTCGAATATAGTTGTACTTTGAATGGGCAAGAATGCAGTAATGCTCAGATAGATTCTGCATCAAAAAATTATATATTGCTATACGTATTCATCTTGTTTGGTGAATTTAAATAATAATTAACGTTAGTTTTTTTAAAAATTTATAAGCATTAAATTTTTATTAACATTTAATTTTTTCTATATGCTAAACAGTAACCAAAAATTATTGTTTCACGATTATGCTGTTTTCATGCCTATTTTATTTTAAAAGTACCTGGTTATATATTCTTAATATTATACATAATATTCTTATTTTCAGAGACGAAACAAGAACACCGATGTGAAACTAAAAGCGCTTAAAGCGAAAAACGAATACTTATTGTGTTTGGAAGCTGCGAATACCACTATCCATAAGTATTTTGTAGATGACTTATCTGATTTAATCGATGTAAGTTCTTGTTTCTCTTTTTAAACTCGTTTTATTTGCTTTTCCAGTTATCGGACCTGAATAATGCACTCCATACATAATTTTATTTTTAGCCAAAACGAGCATATTTGGGTTTTCAGATATACATATGCAAAGGCACTGCGGACGCGGTTATTGCGGTCATTTGGTTCAAACCTGTACTCTTTAAAAAACATAAAATCGCTGGTATAAAACCTTTTTTCTGTGACGTTTTCGAAATTTCTTAGCTTAATCAAATCTATACAGGTTATTACTAAAACGCACTCACTTCCCATAGAATTTTCAAGGGGTTGAAATGTTTAATTTCTATGTATGCACTTTTGTATCGACTTAATACCAGAATAATATTCCTTTTCATAACACCCTGTATAAGTAGACCATAACAGTCAATCGGCTGGCATCCAGGTGGTATGACGTAACGCCTCGGTGGATATTTATAGGCGCGTATTTTAATGAAGATATCTTTTTTTAATAACCGCACTTATAAGGCTAATTAAAATGTTTGAAAATAAGCGCATATTACTTTAATAAACCAAACGGCGTTTTTACCGAATGGCCATGAAACAAATTGTTTTCTTAATTTAAAGTTGTAATCAGTGAATTACAATTAACACAGAGGATTGGAATTGCACTTGCTATGTATAAATCTCTTAAGTCCGTGGGTTTTTAAATAAATACAAATTCACATAAGCAGCCTAGCCTAGAGTACTAAGAAAATTACGCACTTTAATCTAATTACTTTTGTATCAATTTAAAAATTAAAATTCATTAACTTGATTTTAATCATTTTTCATTTTGTTTTTTCAATTGACTATTTTTTTTAGTGTATGGATTTTGGTTTTCACAACTGTATCTCCAGAGCTTTAATGATGCATATATCGGCAGAAGAAGGTCGACAAAAGTCTGTACAAAGTGATTTGGATTCATTATCAGCATGTATAAACTCGTTAGATTCGCGATTAGATAAACAAAAATTTTTAGAGTGTAATCACACAGCATTTATGATTCCGAAGAAATTGGAATTTCAACGACAGAAGACTGATGAAGTAAGTAATTAGGTACCGAAACAGAGTTACGGAATGCTTCTTTAAAAAGGACTTTAAGTTTTAATAGTCCAAGCGGCGACCGCCGTAAAAAGGTGGTCAACTAGAATAAGTACAAAAATATATTTTATTACTTTTTGGGTATTAGATGAATAACAAACCATTGGTCTGGTAGTCTATGAGTTGTCCAATTTTTTTTTTTTTTTTTAATAAAATTTGTATTTAATTTTTTTTGTAAAAATTGATCTACATAACTTAAACATAATTTTTTAGTTTACGATGGCGTTTTGACCAGATGAATATAGAAATTCAAGTCTGGCGTTCTTATTCTTGACGCAACTGTTTGTCAGACCACCCACAACAAATTTATTACAACAACAAATTTTCTATACAAGGTATAAGAAAAAATTAAACTTCAAAATTTTTATTTTTCATTCTTCTTTCGAATAAAATTGGTCTGGCACGTTCATACTTGACCAAAATTCTGCCAGACCAAGATTAAGCAAGTCCTTCTCTACTGCTTGTAAAGTGCGAGTTGTTTTTATTTTTGACATAATTGACATCATTCAAATCTTAACCTGTTTAATTCACCAAAATGTGATGTGCGTGTTTTTAAATGACATTTACTTAGCTAAATAATTAAATAATTTTTTATTGAATTAGAAAAATAAAATGCTTTATCTGTAATATCACTAATAGCAAGGAGAAAGTATTATCGTTTAATGCTGATATATTTCAAAGATGTTGTTTATTTATTGAAATGAGGAAAAAGAAACTAGAACTAGACACATTAAATATAAACAGATTTTTTATATCACATTCTCTACAATTGAAAATATATTAGAACTTATGATAGCCATCCAGGTCTTTTCAAACCATTTTAGTCTGAACTCTTTGTATCTATTTTTTATTAGTTCTCTTTTCATTAATTTATAGAAAGTTTTGAATCTAGATAGTACGTAGATTTTTAAAGCATTTTTCGTTCTGAAATATCGTTATTTCTAGACAATTAGAACAACGAAAATTTGAGTTTTATTATAAATAAAAAATATGTATTTTCAGTCTCCAGAGCCCGCAATTCAGAGTATACTCCACAGAGAAATGGAAACGAGACTGACGCAACTTCAACAGCGGGTGACATGCCTGAGAGCGGAATCTGAAGAAGTATGGAAAACTTTAGAGACTGCTGAAAGCACACTTTTAGAAATGTTATGTGCCAAGGATTACGATTGTAGTAGTTATTTCGGCGATAACTCAATACCTGCTAGTAAGCCTCCCGAAACTGTTTCCATAAAACTAAGAGCTGATCGACAAGAGACTGAAGAATTTTATCTAACTGTAAGTTCAAATTATATCAACATTTATAATAATATTCGTTATTGTTTAAAAAATATATTATTTTCATTAACTATTACTCTTTTATTTCAGAAATTTCGTGAATACCTCTTAGGCTCAACAAAAATAGCTCGATTAGATGCGAAACAAGAATTTTTGAGGCAGTCGCTGCTTGCAGAAGCACCAGACTTCTGCAATTCCATAAAGCCAGTTGTAAAAACGCCAAAGCGAAAACGTATTGGAAGATTGCAGATGAGTGGACAACCAAAACTCTTTGGAGGTTCAATTGAAGAGTATCAAGAAGCTAGTAATCAGGAGATACCTCTAATTATGAGGTCTTGCATAAGAGTTATTAATTTATATGGTATGATTTCATTTATTTTCATTAGATCTCTTTTGGTTTAACCAATAAACAGATTTATCAACTTTCCAGATAATTATAATAAATTTAAAAAAATATGTGGTTACTTAATTTATTCATAAATATAGGTACCATCTTTATATCTATGAATAAAATACATTTCGTTTTAGGATTACATCATCAGGGTATATTTAGAGTATCTGGTTCCCAAGTTGAAATAAACAACTTCAGAGAGTGGTTTGAAAGGGGCGAGGATCCCTTAGCTGATATGACAGACGCTTCTGACATTAACAGTGTGGGAGGGGTCCTAAAGTTATATTTAAGAGAATTGAGGGAGCCTCTATTTCCAATTATATATTTTGAACAATTTATGGAGATTGCACGTAAGTAACTTATATAAATAGTAATGTTTGTTTTTTTAATAGATTTTTTATTTTTTCAGAATTAGATTCTAAGCAAGATTTTATAATAAAAATGAGAGAACTTATGATGAGTTTACCGCGATCCATTGTTGTAGTGCTAAGATATTTATTCGCCTTCTTAAATCATCTGTCGGAATTTTCCGACGAAAACATGATGGACCCATATAATTTGGCCATTTGCTTTGGGCCAACGTTGGTTCCAGTACCTGAAGACAAGGACCAAGTACAGTACCAGAACCAAGTAAACGAGCTTATCAAGAATATTATTTTGTTTAATGATGAAATATTTCCCAATGATGGGGGCACAGTTTATGAAAAATATATTTCGCCGAACTCAGAGGACCAGTTAGTAATATTTTAAGCAAGCCATTATACAGGGTGGTCCATTTAACTTGAGACAATGCAATATCTCAAAAACGGTAAGTTTTTAAAAAAAAAAGTTTAAATAAAAGTTGTTAGGCGCGTTACGGGGGAGATGTAATGATGAACATTTTTTTATATTGACAACTTTTTGAAGGGTTTTCAAGGTTAACTCTCTTTTTCTAGATAGAAATATAGATTTTTTTATTTCAGAATCTTGTTGTATGTAAAAAAGTAAATAAGTTTTGTTTAAAGAAATTTTTTATAGAATTGCATCTTCAGTAGATAAAAAATAAAATAACATTTTTTTTTTTTTCAAAATTTTATAATAATGAAATGGTTTACTAAAAATGTTTTGCTTCTTAAATGACACAATTATCATATCAAACAACAACAAAAAAAAATGTGTTGAAGTTGATGGTCATCTTTTTGAGTATTTGTTACATTATTTTTTTTTTGTTGTTTGATATAATTGTGTCATTTAATTTTTTGTAAGAAGAAAAACATTTTTACTAAACCATTTCATTATAAAATTTTGAAAAAAAAAATGTTATTTTTTTATCTATGAAAAATTTCTTTAAACAAAACTTATTTGCTTTTTTACATACAACAAGATTCTGAAATAAAAATCTATATTTCCATTTAAAAAAAGAGAGTTAACCTTGAAAAAACCTTCAAAAAGTTGTCAATGTAAAAAAAAATTTTCATCATTACACCTCCCCCGTAACGTCGAACAACTTTTATTTAAACTTGTTTTTTGAAAAACTTACAGTTTTTGAGATATCGCGCTGTCTCAAGTTAAATGGACCACCCTGTATACGAGAATTTTCTATTTTGATTTTCCACACAATTTATTGTGTGGAAAATAAGATTTATCTTACCCGTTTTGTTACAAGTAAATAACAAAATATGTTTTTAGGGATGTTGGCGATTCCCCTGATCAAACCCAAGAAGATATGGATTCTGAGGTTTATCCATCTGAAGATGATTCAGAAAATATCGAAGCAACCGCACAATTCGACTTTATAGCTAGATCTGATAGAGAATTATCTCTGAAACGTGGAGATTCGATCACCTTATATTCACAAGTGTCTAATGATTGGTGGAGAGGAACGGTAAAAGGACAAGAAGGCCTTATCCCAGATAAATATATTTCATTAAAAATAAAGTAAGTTTTAGATGTTATAGTATGTAACTGAAATTGATGCTTCTATAAAAATCATATGCACTTTCTAAAATTTGATTTTGAATATTTTTAGGGATGATGATAGGGATAAGGCAGGACTGAAATCGAGTTCATCTGAAGAGTCGGTGCAAAGAAGAACTCAAAGTTCAACGGATTCGATGCTTTCCGACAATTATACGTCTGTTAGTAGTTCTACAAATTCGCCTAGTTTGCAGTACGCCCCAATAACCTGGACTAAAGTGTCGGATTTGGCTGAAACCAACGAAAACGCAACAGTTTTATTAAATCAGGCAAGAGAGGTATTAGAGACAACTGTTTAAATGTTTTGTTGAAGAATTAGTAAGGTTTTCACCAAAAGAGGGTTCTCTAAAAAAAAAATATTAATCACAACTATTACAGTTTAAAGTTATTTTAAAGTTTTATCCTCAAAATTTTTTTTGGAAAATCCTCTTGATAGCTTTTGTAGTTTTTGAGCTCTGCAATAGCCAAAATTATGTTTTTGTCGCATTTTTGTTTATTTCAATAACCGTTTTCATTTTTGTTTTTTTTATTAAAGATTTCAAAAGATTTTAAGTGCATGTCCCAGTGTATTTTTTTTTTCTATTAGAATAAATTGTGCATGTGCATGATTGTCTTCTTCATAAATGTGCTGTAAGAATATCTAGGATTTGCCATTCTCTTCAATTACAAAGTGTTATTAGCAAAGAATTTAAAAAAATAATGAACACTATTTAATTTTGGCAGCTGGATCAAGGCTGGGACGAGCACTAAATCTGCAAAATAATTATAAAGTTTGAACCATTTAAAATGCACTGTAGTTATAAGTAAGTGCTCCTACTTGTTTGATACTGCTGTCAAATTTGTTTTGTTCTATTATTTTAAAAATTGTACATAAATTGACAGACATATAGGCTTTAACAAAATATCTTTCAATTATTAGTTGTGAAGATCTTTACGTCTGCCAATTAGGTACTTATTTTTAAATACATGTTCCTTCTTGATCTTTGCTTACAGTTCTTCAATGTTTCCTGTTAGTTAGCTTCAGTGTTTCTGTATTTGTGTTTAATAATTATATAAAAATATTTTTGTCCTTTATAGTTCGACAATGGGGAGATTCCTAATACATTAAAGAAAAATATTAAAGATTAATTCATCATATGCTATAACTTAATGTAGGTAAGATAATTTCAAAATAAGGAAGTATTAAGAAAAAATCAATAATTTTCTATAGTAAGCAGCAAAGGTTTAAACGCTATATCAGCATTGTTGTCATAATAATGCTTATAACATTTATTAACCAGTTTTAAGATTGGCAAAGCTTATATATTTATTTTAGTCATTTTTGAAATATGTACGAATATTTGTACATTTATACTAACAAAAGCCTAAAAAAAATATTGATCAGAGAAACATAATTAGAATTATTAGTCAAAAAATGTTTAATAATATTTACTTATAATTTTTTATCATTAGGAAATATATCTGCCCTTTACATAGAATATATATTTTTACTGCAAAGCCAGTGAATTGATTTGTTTTGAGCTCGTCACTTTACAGCTCTTTGTGTGAGCTAATCTGTCATTTGTATGATGAATTAGGGAAACTTTTTTTTATTCTCTGATCTGTAGTTAATTTTATTTATCTCAATGAGATGATCTTTTAAGAGCGCTCAAATTTGAATTTTACATAATTTGAGCACTGCAGTGATTATGACAATAATTATTAATCTCATTTATACAATTATTTTGTTATAAATATTTAATGTGTTTATATAGGTATATAAAAAAACTATTTTTTACTCTTAAAAAAATTCTGTAGAGCTATATCATGATTCAAAAAATGTATATTTTCGAGAATAAATTATATGGTTCTCCATATTTTCCAGTTTTTTATTTTTTAATATTAATTTGTTCCCACGTAAAATTGTAGTGGTAAGTTAATGTTTAGCTGCGCTTAGTTTTGCTATCTTTTTATTTAGGTGTTTTTATGTATGGTGTCTGTTTTGTGCTTGTTTTGTATTTTGTATGTACTGTGCAGGTAGGTTTTAATTTCCTTTTTTTTTATTATGTCAACGTACACAAATTAAAAATTGTAGCTTAAACAAAATTGCACCTAGAATTATTTTTGTTTGCTTATGTTATCACATTTCTTTGGCTTCAGTAGTTTAGATTTGCAATTTGGGTTAATTCATTTATTTTTTGTTAACCGTTATACAATTATCAAGTTTTTTTATACAAAAGTTATCTAAAACAGTCCTTAAAAATATTCCTACATGCAATGTGACTCATTTGTAAATACAATATTTATTTATTATTACATTACTCAACAGGTCAAGACCCATATTATGAATTAAACTATAAAACAAATCAAGCTGGCAACTTACTGATTCATAATTATTATACATATGGTGTATATAGGGGTATATTACATCTGTCTGGATTCTATTGTCGATATTTTCTGCAATGTACTGTGTTACAGCTTAAAATTGGTAACGGTGGAACGGCCTTTCATGAATCCATGTTGTTCTGTTGATATCATATTACTGACGTGATGATAAATCTTGTTTTGAAGTAACATCTCAAACACTTTACAGAAATTACTAATAATTGAAATTGGACGATATTGTTCAATGTCTGATTTATCACCCTTTTTAAATACCGGGCAGACCTTAGAGCATTTCCAGATAGATGGGATAGAACAAAATTTGAGACAAATATGTAAAAGGACTTTTGATGGACGAGAATTGAAGCGCACAAAGAATGGAATATTATCTGACCTCCATAGTCATTTTAGATTTCATTGATTTTAACGTATTTCTAACTTCATCTTCGGAAAAGGAATTTATGTTTAAATTTGATACATTCACTAGATTAACCTCGGAATTTGGCTCAGTAAAAATAGTACAAAAAAGGTCAGCAAATCTATTAATAATTTCAGTGGGATTCTCAAAGTAATTTTCATTGTAGCGCATTCTGCTGGGCAAACGAGTCGAGTGTGTTTTATTTGAAATAAATGACCAACATTTGTCGGGATTGGATAATATTTCATCTTCAGATTTTTTAATAAATTGTTTATAGGCCACACTAATATCACTTTTTATGATTGTCATTAATCTTTTAAATTTGTTGAAAGATAAAATATCATTATCAGATTTATATTTACGCCAATATGACAACCTCATGTAACATTCCATATTTTTTTGTCGTTTTTTACGTTTAGCACAGTATATTTTTAAATATTATGAAAAAATTAAGACGAATTTAAGTAGAACTAAAATTTAATTCATTAATAATTTTACAGATTACAAAATCTGTCATTGGTAATATCGTTTATTACTGCTTATAAACGTTCTTAAATATCTTCTTCTGATTGTGTAGCATAAACCTTCAGGGTGTATCGCTATAGATCTTACAACCGCCCTTAGGCGTGGCTGTACCACATTTTCTTCTCTATTCGTTTTTTTCTCACTTCAAATTTTGTTTCTGTTTCAATAAATATGTAGAGTAAGGAATGTTCATTTTTAAAACAAAAAGTAAGCCTAGTTTTAATAGTGTTTTATTTGCTGATTGGCATTTAAATAGAGCGAAAGATATTACATTTCTCAATGTTCTTATCAATAAAAAATCTAAATCAGTTTTTACAATATCGAGTGCCAAAAGACAGTACCTCGTAAGTTCAAAAATTGTAACACTTCCCCTATACAGTGGATGGAGCGATGTTTTAAACAAAATTATCATAGAAATGTTAGTTACGAGGTCCTGCGTTGTGGCCCTCGATTTGAGTCACAAATAATTAAATTTTTAAGTGCCTTTTTACTATACCTTTATTTAAAATGTAATATAAACTTGTATGTATCAGCTCAAGCCCCTAGACCCATAGAAATTTAACAATACATACTGTAGTTGACAACATTCCATTATTAAACATCAAAATAACACGAAGCAAGCCAAAAATAATCTAACTGGATGATTCGTTTTTCCCGTGACAATATGTGTCTAATGCTTGAATTTGAACTAATTTTTATACAATAATATATAAATATTCCAATAATTTCCAAGATAAAATGCATTTATACTAACCGTTACTCACAGTTAAGTTATTTAGGAAAAAAAAATTTAAATAGTGAATACCAAATTTCTATAATTTTTGTCAATAAATGAATTTCAAAACTGAATTCATATTTGTTCCAGAATGCAGAAACTTCAAAGCCGCCATCAGAACCAATACAAGAACCAAAAGCTCAAATTCAAACAGAAACAGAAAAATCCCTTTTACCAATGCACAAATCTGGGGAAGATACGTCAGCCTCTACTGATACTGATCCGCACAAACTTCCCACTCAAAACGAAATTGATGAAAGTAACGTTAATTTCACTGAAAACCGTGAACTCTGGCAACGCCGTGTTATATTAGAATCGGCAATATTGGCTTCACCAGTTCTCAAAGCTCACAGAATGTCCGAGCCTCACATACAGAGACACAGCCATACCCCTGATTTGGTTATGGACTTGCCATTAGTAGGAAGCGCGGCAAGTAAAGAACAGTTGACTAAATCGGCATCTGCTTTAGCAGGAGTAGCCGGAGGGTTTGCGGAGACACCGCCAGAAAAAGAGGTAAAACCCGCAGAGGGACCTTCAGGTGCCGAAAGTCCCGAAATGCAAACTGCAGCCGAGACCTTCGCCAAACAGAACCAGTGTACTCTAAAAAAGAACAAAAAAAATCATATACCTGACGAAGCCGAATATGTAACGATTACTAGTCCCATTCCCGAACGAAAGTACGCTACTTTGGAGCCAAACATGACAATGACTTCAACTTTTAAACCCCAAGTAGATTCCAAACCGACGGTGCTCAAAAAGCCTATGTTTTCAATGCCTCTGAGATCTGTTTCTATTGAAATGATGTGCAAGGACCCGCCCGATCTTCCAACATAGATTTTTATATTACAATATATTTTTTTAAATGCGAATTTGTTGTCGGTTAGTATTTTTTTATTGCACGATGTTTGTGATTTTTTTTTTTACAGAGTGCTTATTACTAAGGGGATATAGTTAACTAAAATTCTTAAACGATTGATTATTCAAAATATCTATATTTCTATTTATGCATAAAGTACAAGAAATAATGATTGAGAGTAGGAATACGCCCAGTTGATGGCAAATCGAAGGCGTGCTTATTAATTTTTGAGAGGGTTGAGAATGAACCAAAAATGCTTAGTACAATTATTTGAAATAATCACAATTTTTTTATTTATTTCATTAAAACTTTGCAATATCGTAATTAATCTAATCATTGTAGTTAATTAGTTGGGCTTTATGAAAACAGATTAATAATTGTGTTAATTATAGTAGGTACCAAATAAATTAACAATATTAATAAAATTCACAATATATATTAAAAATAAGAAAGATACCTAAATATATAGACTTCTTTCTGTGTGCAAATTTTCGTCTAATCTTCAACCTCAGATTCGTCACTGCTGCTACCGCTATCATCAAAGTTAATTATGATTGGTTCAATATTGTGTTCAATACGGTTGTCTACGTCCCACATTTGCTCTTCTTTTAAAACATACTGAATGCATTTCTTCTAGTCTTCTGCAGAAACATTTTGAATGGCTTCTTGTAGGAATTGTTACACGTCCACTAATTTAAATGTTCTGTTTCCTCATGCCACATATCCTTTTACTTGCGCCCAGATAAATTATATTGGGTTTAATTCGCAGTGGTACGGTGGTAACCTTAAAACTGTAATTCCACGACTTTTCATCCGCTGCGAATTTTTGATATTTGTCTGTGTGTCATTTTGTTAGCTGAAGTAGTTCTTTCTTTAAACCTTCTTTTTTATATTAGATGTTTTTAATAATTAACCATTCTTGAATTGCTACTTTTTTCAATGATTGTTTCGATAATGATTCTAAATGCCGACTATGATATGGGGCATTGTCCATGACGACGACAGACCCAGGTTCTACAAGTTGAATGATGCCTTCAAACCATTGTTCAAACACCTCCGCATTCATCTCTTCATGAAAATCGCCTGTTTAGATTTAAATATTAATTCACCATTTGGTAAAAATCCACTGCATGTCGCTTCATATATGCGTAACTATCAGATGACTAACTTTTCCAGACGGCTGTTTTAAGCTAGTTCAATAAAGGCTTATCGTGCACTTGTTATATGATTATCCTGCCATACTTTTTTGACTGTATGTCCTTGGTTAATCCACGTCTCATCCATGCAGTAAATTTTTTTTTTAGATTCCGAAATTTGTCAATTTTTTTGAGATAATTTTTTCTCCATACTATTATTTCTTGACGTTCTATGAGAATGCTTTTCCTGTCGTAAATTTCATTTCGGTAAAATTTTCCTCAAAGTTGGTTATTCGTAGGTACATTCGTAGAATTACAGCACATATGCACTAAGTCATCTTTTGGTCGCTGATGATCTTTTTCAAGACAGTGAAATACTCGAAGTACAATTTGTTTTTCACTTAGGGACTGAGACTTCGACCGTTTCACCTTTTTCGATGTTGACGGTCCTGCATTGTCTCCCATTTTTTGAGTAGTTTTAGACCGGTGTAGAAATATAATTATTTAATGATTAAACACTTATTAGCGCTATTATTTTCACCAATTGTTATCACAACACATCGATTACTTACTAACTTAACTGTAAAACTTACAATTCACGTTGTATAATTCAAAACCTGATGCGCTCGTGGTTGCAAGTACATTACTGAGCACTGCATGGATGAGATGGATTTTACGCGAAACTAACAAAGACACAAATATCGTTCCGTACAGCGTTGCCATTAGTTGTAATAAAGACTGAACAATACATAAAATAATTTTAAATGATCAGAAAATGTATTGTCATAAATAATATCTTTTAATCGTATTATATTTTGATTCTGCTAGAAACTGGTAACGTAAAATTGAGATATGACAACGCGGTTTACTCTCAATCATTATTTGTTTAACTTTAGGCGAGCGGATTTTGTCTTTTCTAAACAATACTAGGATTAAAAATGATAGGCCTTTTAATATTTTATCAGTAAGTGCAGCAATACACGTTACACGCTTGGACCCAAATTTAAGTTATTCTGTGGTCAATGTGCTGCACTCATATAAGGCGGTTGATTGTTTATGAATATTATTTGAGATTATTTCGTTTAAAAGTGTCGATTGAATAAACACAATGGAGAACATCCAATTATCCCTAAAAAATGTCTCAAGATTGACATTTTTAAATCAAAATTAAAAAATAACTATATCTCCTCTATACATACAAGTTTCAACAAAATGACTCAATTAAATATTTATAAAAATTTAAAGAGTAGTAATATCTATGTATTATTTTACAAAATGACTGGTTTTTAAACAGTATTTTTCTATTTATTGAGGAGTGAAACGTTTGTAATTTATTATTGTAGAGTGAATAAAAAAAAATCCAGTAAACGAGTGTTGAAGCTTATAATACAAATTTATATTGTAGGCGAATGATAATAAGTATATTCGATGTGATTTTCGATGATAATACCGAGAGGCACTGCTCTCTACTCTAATATTTGTAGCAAATAACATTTTATAAATAATTAAATTTCTGAAGTAGCATTAAGAATAAAAAAAAAATACATAATATTACTTTTGATTTTATTTTAAATACGAAATCTCCTCTATTTATAGTTTTTGTTTCTGAATCCAAAATAAAGATGCAACAAATTTTTATTAATGTCTTTATGCAAAATATTTTTAATATTTGTTTTCCGCCCTTCGATATTTTAACTTATTCTATGAAATGAAATAACTATAACTCCCTAGATAATATAAATTATATTAGACAAAAGACAACATATAGGTAATGGTAGATATCCATCCATTCGTTGACTTTTCTGTCAAGTTTTCTGATTTCACAATTACCAAAACTAGGAGCCACTTTTAAAAATGTTTTTATTTTTTAAATGGAATTACCTGTTTTTGTTTTTCCTGGAAATCATTGTTTTCTAAATCAAATATTTCCCGTTAAATTGAATATTTTCTAATTTAATACTAGAAGAATTGTACACTGAAGCATTAGAATTTAGATTTAAACATTTGGTAATTTGAAACATATCGAATAGAAAAGTTAATATATCGTTGCTCGGAAAAATATTCTACTTATTCAGAGAGCAATGTGGGTTTACAGGCTTAGCATATTACGCTCTCGGCTGTAAACGATCAAATTACTCCCGAAATACGTAAATAACGATTTTATTGTTACTGGTGAAATTTAATTTTTGTAAGATCCTGTGTAAAGGAAAACATAAATTTAAGGTGGATGCATTATAGGGACATTGCCACTAAGCGGGTCGCATTTTTAACAGTTACTTATCCTGTTTTATATTTATTAATCTTTTCAATAGAATCTCTAGTTTAGATAAAAATGTAGAATTATTTGAAAAAAGGAGGCTATACTGTAAAAATGAGACTCACTACATTTTTGCTTAAATGAGTTGTCTGTCTATATTTGAACAAATTTCACAAAAGAAAACAATGATTGTGAAAACTTAGTGATACACAGAACCCTCTTATATCTTGAAGAATTAATCTATTTTTTATATTAATAGTTATTACCGTTTCATTTTGATGATCAACGATTAAAACCCTCCAGATGGTTTTTGTTCTAAATCTTAAATCGATATTTGAAATTTGTTGATAATAATATATATAGTGAATATTTACTACCGCGACGACCAAAAATTAATGTTAATTACCATTTTTTTTCTCTCTACAGAAATAAAAAACATCTATTTCAGTATTAGTATGGTGTAGATTAAAACTTATTTTGACTTTGCCTCCCACTTCGGTGTCACAAGCTGAATTTTTCAGGGATGAAAGTACATGATAAGCTAACCCTTATTCCGAAGATAATACAAAATTAGACTGTGCAAAAAGGCACTATCATAAAAAATCGAGTTATTGATACCACCGTATAAAAAAATGCTTATTTTTTAGTTCTAATGCTCAATTAGGTCTTTGTAGGAAGTATTTTTTTATAATTATTTAAAAAAAAATCATTTATATTAGCCCTTATGGTCGAAAAAAATCCCGTCTACAAATTTGTATAAAAAATCTTATTTTAAAAAAATATACCTCTCATTTGACGAAAAACGAAGGCCTAAATGAAAAAAAAAAAACTATTCTTCATAAAAGTTTCGCCTATGTATTGACAAGGTAACAGTGCTTTCCCCATATTTTCTTTTAAATTAATAAAATTATAGCAATAAACAATTAGTTATGTCATGGTTTTACTAGAAAGCAAACATTGAAGGCACAGCCTCTCGACTCTCTATGCGTCTCTCTCAGTGTTGAAATGTATGCAATCAGTTTGACTCTCTTATATTATTTTATACAGGGATTATTGATTTATCCGCTATGAATAATAGGGTGTATTAATTATTTTAAGATTTTTTTTATTTTTGGAGTAAAATGAAAAATAAGAAAATATAAACTATTTATTGAAGGTAAAGTGTGTATCTTATAGTGGTATCCGAAGTTTTTTAAATAATTTGACAAACAGAATTTTTTGTAATAAATGTTTTTTTTGTTGAAATTGGATCTATTACAATTTATTTGGTCACTTTTTGAAGATGTCATCGGCCAAGTGGCCACCTCTGGACGCCACACACAAATCGGCCCGTTTTTCGGCATTTTCCATTACTTTTTTTAGTGTTTCGGGTTGAATGGCGGCACCGATTTCTCGGCGTATGTAGGCCTTAAGTTGTTGGAGAGTGGCTGGTTTATCGTCATAAACCTTTCCCTTCAGGTATTTCCACAGGAAAAGTCAAGGGCTGAAACCGCGAGATATTTACGTTTATATATTTTTTCGGCCGTAAGGGCTAATGCAAATGATTTTCTTTAAATAAGTATAAACAAATACTCCCTACAAATATTTTATTGTGCATTGGACCAGAAAATGAGTATTTTTTCTCTATTCGGTGGTATCAATATCTGGATTTTTGATGATAGTGCCCTTCTGCACAGTTTAATTTTGTATTACCTCAGAAATAAGGGTCACCTTATCACCTTTCATCTCTGAAAAATTCTGCTTGTGACAAAAGAGTGGGAGGTAAATCGTTTTCTAGAGCGAATATTTTAATACATACACTCTACTATATACCCCCCGTTTAAAAATTATAATATTCTACACAAATGCAATGGTTATTAACTTAATACAAAAAGTTGTAATTTTTGTACACAACTAAAACTTAATATGAAATTATTTTAGTATTACAACTAGGTGCTCTTTGAAAGTCTCTAGTGCTTGGCCACCTTGAGAAAAAAAAAACAGATTTTTATTTGAATTAAAATTTTCAAAATTATCCTAAAAACACGGATTATGTCATTTTATTTACACAGAATATAGCAACTAAAAAAAAAATACATCTGAAAATGGTTGATAAATATAAGTATATAAAAATCAGTAGGATGTAAAAAAAAATAGTTAATTACCAAAATGGACAAAAATTTTAGATGCATATCTAAATATAATAAACTCTACTTATACCGCAACTCAGCGTTCTTTTTTTTTAATAGTAAATTTGTGATATATTTACTCATTCGTTTTAATTTAATATTATGATTTCTTATTATTGAGATTATCATTGTAGCTGATGTGATTTTTAAATGTACTCTATATAAATATATGTCTACGACGCAGGGTGTTAACAAAATCAACTGAAAAAAAAAAAAAAATTAACAATCAATTATCGTCGTGGTAACCACAATAGGTCTATAACAGGTTGTATGTCAGAAAAAGGTTTTAAGTTAAAATCCAATTTGTTGTATATCAATTTTGCTCACTAAGCAAAAAACTTTCGAATATAAAGAGGCTGTTTGTCACAATACTAATTGAAGTTGTTACCAAATTTAATATCTCGTCAAATTAGACAAATATGATGTATTTTTAATATGAATTTGACCAATTCAAGATAGGTTTAATTATTTTTTTAAGAATACTGTGTTATTATTAAAATTATTATTTAGTTGTATTATTATTAAAATTACTGGTTAGTTGTCTGTTTTTATATTTAAGTTGTAAAAAAAACATTTTTTAAAAAAATCGAGCTTAAAATATAATTAATTTATGATAAATTTACAAAAAATCTATTGGTAAAAAAGTGTCTTTATAAATTATAGTCTTAGCTTGCTCTATGTAATTTTACAATTGCAATAGTTTATGTTTCTTTATTGTTAAAGGTAGGTTGTTATAATAGGCTGAGCCCTGTATATTCTTGAATATGTTAAGATAAGAGAACACATCATTTCATATTCCAGTTAATTTATTTTCAAAAACATCCGGAAACCCAGTCATTTAAAAATTTTGAAACTAAATTGCAATTGAAAATGTAATGGTTAATAAAAAAAAAAAGTTGAAAAGTTATAATCCCTAAAAAGCTTCTGTGCAACATTTTTAGTTTTGAACTTAAAAAATATATTAATTTGGTAAATTTAGTATCGTGACAAACAGCCTTATATCAGCCTGCTACAGTAAGTAATATTTGCATTAGTTATGCTGTTTTTTGCTGTTACCACGATGTTATACACATATACCATTTACTTACGAAATCTTTTTATTACACGTATTTTCAGAAGAAGTGATTTAGTTGGTTATGTTTGAATAATGATTATCTCCTATATTTTATTTTTTTAAGAAACATTGTTAACGGAAAACTAGAAATGTTACTATTGTTAGTTGTGATTTTTATTTATTTTTTTTTGCTGGCGCCCTGTAAGATTTAAGTAATTGTTTAATCCAAAAACCTAATACCAACAATATAATTGAATAATAAAATGTTATAAATATGTATCATCCAAATTACAGTACGTACAAAATGTAGCCATCACAATAATATAATAAACATTATACCTACTTATCTCTAATTTTATTTATTAAATTAATCTTATATTTTTAATCTACTTTACATAAATGTGTAAATAAGATAAGCCATTGAATATATTTTTTTTACTTATGACTACGTCACTGGAGACTGGAAACACTAATCCGCCATTTGTAACCCACACCACAAACCACAACCATTGATGAGCGATAACAGGAATAAATATATACGGTGTGAACACGAAAAATAATTAAAAATGGTAAAAATAGGTATAAATCGTGAAATTGGTGGCTGAAACTACTTTAGAACAATAAATTTTCCATTTTAAAATTTGTTGAAAAATAATGACGAAAATTCGTATTAACACAAGCTGGTGGATCAGACAATAACAAAGTGAAATAGAAAATGGTTGTTATAAATACTCCCGAGTGAGATGAAAAATAACCTGTCTTCGCCCATAGAGTCGCATCTCAAGCCTATTGACAAGCATTCTACCCCACTCCAGTTCATTGCGTTGGCATCGGTGCGGTATCTACCTGTCTTTTTTTCATCAATCTATCAGTGATGAACTAACAGCGCCGTCTTTGTTCTTCCACTTTAATATATAGTTCAGTGGTATGTACATCATTCTTATGACAACAAAACTATCAGTGGCATTTAGCATCTTGTGAAATTGTCAAAATGGGAAAAGGTGTTCCATGGAGGAAGGAGGTGTCCTTCCTTCATGAGTGTTCTGTGATGGGCAAAAATGGCCGACGATTGGCAACACTGACCTTGATATTAAACTTGATGGCTCTATATGACATAAACCCTACTCCTAATTTCTACGCCGACACAGGTGAAAAAAACGGTCGGTGCGCATGACAATTTGGACGCCAGAATGTAAATTTCAAGCATTTACGTCACGTTTTTCACGGGCGTACTATGATAAATTATATTATTTTTTATTAATAACGCCCTTTTTTAATAATTATCATTATTGGAAAATTTATTCAGCTGTGTATTAATCAAAAATCATTTTTAAGTGATTTTCTTAAATTAAAAGGTGTCATAGTTGAATGTAAGAAGTGTTAAATTTAATTTTGATGATCTTTTTTAGTGCATTTCGATACGCACATGTGGACGCCAAAGTGTCAAATATCACCTCGCTATGCGGCTTGATTTTGTTGATCGGCTTTGTTCTTCCAGTTTAATATATAGTTCAGTGATTGGCAATAATAACAAATTGTTAACTTTTTTCATTAGCGTTCGACTGTATGCAAAACATTATTCATGTATTTTTAATAAATATTAATTTTTGCCATTTTTCAACCAAACCCACCGAAAAACTATTACTCCGCAAAAAATGGGCAAACTTAGACTAATAATCTGACTAGAACTGTTTTTGTCACAAAACACTTGTTTTTCCCAGTCATCCACCACGTGATTTGTATTACCTGGGGTGCGTTCAGAAATCGAGAGCGTAAAATTTTCAATCGTCCGGACAAAATTCGTCGGAACGTTTATTTTTGCCCGATAAATACGAGCGGTAAGTGCAAGAATTGTTAAATCAAGTTTTTGGTTACGTCTTTTCTGTTAACTGAAATTGTAGGAATTATTAAAAATTAGAAAATAGGTAACATTATTGACATCCACATAGATTTTTTTATGTAAAAATTCAATTCATTACCTGTTTTCCTGTGTCATAAAATTTAATCATTTTCAATAATGAAATTACCATCCTTTCCGACAACTAGACGCTAATTGATGGAATTAATTCTCTCATTCATATTTATATTTAAATATTTTTTCTCAAAAAATAAAAATAGGAAATTAAATACTAGGTGGTTAATTGGGGTTATGACATACTGCGCAAGTCGAGTAAAAATTATCCAACTCAACACGGTGGGTAAAATTTCTTCATCCTGACGCGTTTTTCTTTTAAATAGGAACGGCTGGGGTAATTCACAAAGCACATAGAGGTTCCACGTGAATGACCAAGGTCAAAACCGACAACTGACATTTTCTATGCTATTTGCTCCAAACTCTAGATGGGGCTACTGGTGAAATTATGATTTCTTACTCCATTTTTAAGCCTTATGGGAGAAAAACCAGAAAAACTTAACCAAAGATGTGACGTGTATTTATTTATGTTCTTGGTTAGTTTCATTTTTCCGTCTGATTTTAGTGATTTTTTGTTGCTTTGGCTTTTGTTTTCTGGGTAAAGTTGCAGGAAAGGTATGTACTGACGCGCATCCTGGCCGCGCATATAAAATAATTAATTTATCTATGGTTTTACGACAGTATAACTGTACAACATTATCAGATTGCTACTTTTATATTATTAATAAATAAAATCTAAGTAAAATAACAAATAAATAAATAAATATAAACAACTACGCGATAAATATAACGATGTTTACATATGCGCGGCCAGGATGCGCGTTAAGTACATACCTTTCCTACAACTTTACCGTTTTCTGTTTATAGTTTCGTCTTAGTTATTTGCAAAATTGTGATGTTTCGCTTTTTTATTTCCTACTATGTTTTGCAATAATTTTGGTGCTACGTTGAAAACTTCGAGAAAAACTTCATTGATTCACCATATATTCACCATGCATCTGCATCATAAAAAGACAAACGGAGACAACAACTAATTGATAATCAATTTATCACTGGACTAGATTCCGAAATCTGTATCACCATCTGTATTTGGAAGGAAAATGCCTATTTATCATTGAATGAATAGTTAAAAGGATTCACCTTTTAATACAATACCTATATTACATTTGTCCTCAGTTAAAAAGACATTTATAAAATATATAACTTTAGTGTTAATAAAATGTAATATCCTAGTCTCTACTTCACATTTACATTATTGATAGGTATTTTAAAGATTTGAGATTATATATATATATTTGCTCCAAGTAAGTATTCGTTAAATATGTATTATTATTTGTATTTATTTTTATCTAATAATATTTATTTAATTTATTAATAAACATATTTTAAGAATGTTCTATTTTATTATTTATTGAATAAAAATATGCAGATCCAACTCTCCACATTAGACCCCTTATAACAAATTAATTCTTCAAATTTGGTATAATCGACCTAAATTATTTTGTAAAATAAAAGTTTCGAACTTACTAGTTCCATACTTTATTTTATAAAATAATTTATGTGGAAATCATTTAAAATTTAATTTAAAACTACCTACTCCTAAAAATTACAATTTGAATTTACCGCCATCTGTCAATTGTCATTTTAGTTCCAGCTCCAAACACAAGGTGGCGCTAATTTGGTTTAAAAGTTTAACATTGGCGTGGGGTCTCTAGAAGATACATGCTTTGTGGGGTAATTCGTCCAGATAAAACGTTCCATATTTAGGAACGCTTATTTGAATTTAGACGTCCGGACGCATTTACCCTATATTTCTGAACGCACCCCTGCGTTAGTTTTAAACTACCCGAGTAATGCCGCGTTTGAGAATCCACATCGGATGCATCTGAGATGTAGTAAATCTTTGATCACGTGATTCAGTATACGTAAATGTAATGGGACAGATGTGTCCGATGTGGATAAAAAAAACGCTCGAGATGTAAAAAATGCATCCGATGTGGATTCTCAAACGCAGCATAAGACAACACTAGTCTAGAGTTAATGTTCTGTGACTAGTCTGACTCTGACCAGTCAGCTGATTAGTTAGTGCCATGTTGAATTTTGGTCGGTTTTCTTTTTCTTTGAATATTTTCGACTAAATGTACAATAAAAATATTACAATAAATTAGCTTGTTTATATTTGTATATTAGAAATATTCATTATTCCTGGGAATTTTTATTTTTCAATGTGGTGAAGAATAGAAAGGAAATCAACAAAACGTACATAAAAGAATGTAGTAACTAAACTTGTTTGTTTGAATTTTCTTTATAAATAATAAACTGAAAGTCAAACGAGAAAGATGGAAGTATAGAATTGATGCGCGGATAAGAGGAAGAAGTAAAATGAATATTAACCAGCTCAAGGACAGAAGTTGGATCACTAACCATCTGTACAAATGATTGTTTTTCATCCTTTTTTAATTCGCAATAAAATTACAGTTTTCTCAGGTTAGTTATTCTTGTCACAATATTCTTGTTGAATATAATTTTTTAGATTTATGCAAATTGATCTATTTTGAATAGCTAAAACTACAATTTATGAAGAAAAAATAGTAAATTAAGGTAGAAATAGAAAACGGAATTTATATTAAGACGGACCACCCTGAGAGTCTTCAGAAATAACCATTTCTCAGCACCGCAGCGTTTTCGATTATACTTTTCTTTGTGATTGTAATTATTGATTATGGTATCTTTGAATTGACGTTTCTTAGATAAAAATTAGGTAGTAGGAGTTTCTGAAAAGTCTACCTTTGTAAAATGAGTAATTTCATAAAATGAAAATACATTGAAGCGGTTTTAACTTAAAAACTATCACACTTTATCCAAATATTATGGTTATGTCATTCAAATGTATTAAGGTAAGAGTAAACTTATTTCTATCCTTCTGTAACTACTTTATTGTTTATTGCCGCAATTCTATTATTGTTGTTAAGTAAGGAAGTCAATCTTATATTTATTTTTGTAGGTATTTTAGAACTATCCCAGCTGCCAGTCTTTGTCTTTAAACTTAACAGTATTGCAAAAACAATTTTCTTTTTGATTTGACCAAAACTCTATATCTATTAACTTTCTTAGGTTGTCTCCTGTATCCTTATTTTGTAAAGAAGTATGATTAATCTATTATTGAAGTTTGTCATAAAGTAATGTCAGTTAAATACCTACCTATATGATATATGAAAAATATTCTGTATTTTGTCAATACTATATTGAGTGTGGCTATGTTTCTTTAAACATGGCTATGTTTCTTTAAACATTGCATGTTCATTTTTTGAAACTACTAATTTATAATTGATTTTTCTTTTAAAAGTTACCTACATTTGATTTATTTTTTATTTTTAGGCTGAGTAATGGCTGCAATAAATGCCAATGCTCCCTCTTCAGCAGATGCTTGCCTAAGCATAGTACACAGCTTGATGTGCCACAGACAAGGTGGCGAGAGTGAAGGGTTTGCTAAAAGAGCTATTGAGTCACTTGTGAAGAAATTAAAAGAAAAAAGAGATGAACTCGATTCGCTAATTACAGCTATAACTACAAGTGGTGCTCATCCTAGTAAATGTGTAACAATACAAAGAACTCTTGATGGAAGATTACAGGTTGCTGGAAGAAAGGGTAATTAAAAATAAACTTGTTTTTAAACAAATTCTTAATATTATAACAAACTATAGCCGATAGCAATTCTACTCATTTGTTGTGAGTATAAAATATGTAATGCATTTTTGAATGTGAACAATGCAGAACATTCCATGATACTATGAATATTTCTTTGTTGTTACAGATTCCAGTAAAGTTAATAATAATAATAAATTGTATTAAATACTTTTTTCCAATTTAACTGAAGACAAAAATATTCTTATCCATTGTTAAAATTTCTTATTTCTACTTTTGTAGAAAGAACTAGCAAAAATAAATGGTCAGATTGATAGAGACAATAAGTTAAAGGTTCATGTGTCTGTAATTTTCTTCCTCTATTTAACAATCCCTCTATAATATTTCAGGATTTCCACATGTAATCTATGCAAGAATATGGCGATGGCCAGACTTACACAAAAATGAGTTAAAACATGTCAAATACTGCCAGTTTGCATTTGACTTGAAATGTGACTCAGTTTGTGTTAATCCCTATCACTATGAAAGAGTAGTATCACCGGGAATTGATCTCTCAGGTCTCACACTACAATCAGGGACTCCTAGACTCGTCAAGGATGAGTACACAGCTGGTGCTGTGGCAGGAAATAGTATGGAGATTGATGGAGACATGGGAATCAACGTTTCACAGACAATTCAACATCACCCTCCCCAACAGAACTTTACACTCACTGGATTGCAACCTCCCCCAACAAGTAAGTGAGAATTTTCAAATTAAGTGGACAAACACCAGACTAAGTTAATGTTTCCTAAAATTTTGAATGACTACTGAAAAAAAAAAATGCTTACTAGTTAACTTAAATAGAGATTTTAAATTATTTGCTCTTGAATTTTTATTTAATGCATATGTGAAAATGTTACATTTACTCTATGCTAGATTAATTTTGCCTTTCGCCAAAATGTACCTTGTCCAAATAATAAAGGACATAGCCTACATCTCAGAAACTATGCTTCTAGAATTTTGGGAACAGTGTTGTCAATGGTTGGAGATGAAAAGATCCACTTCTCCACTATCTAAAAAAACGCTGATGTCTCCCTCTTTCCAATATATTTTTGGAAAAAAGGGGGTACCCATCAGTCAGTAAAAGTTTTATGTCTCCCAAAATATTTGAAGAGCAGAAAAGGTCAAAAAATTATTTTGAAGAGCTGTATTCTATGAATTTATAACTTAATGTTCCATAATATTATTTATGTGACCAAAACTTATCATACTGTGTTAAACACAAAATCAGTTACTGATTTTTTTTTATTTATATTTATTTTTTAAATCTAGGAAATCATAAGTATAATACAATCATATTCGTTTTTACCATTGCACTATGGCTCTATTAAGATTTCATGTTGTTTTATAGATTATAGATTTAACAGCATATCTTTAAATTTATTGTTTTTCAAAACAAAAATTTTATAACATATCTTATTCATGATAATAAAAAGGAATCACAAAAAATATTTCTAAAGTATGCAATGACTGACAAAGATTGAGTCATGTTCATAATAACTACGTAAATAAATGCAAACTGACACCCCAAACGAAAGATAATTGTAATCTATGACATGCGTAAATTTTTCCATGGTCTACTTTAGAAACATTTGTTGCAGATCACTCCTTATAAAAATGTATTGTACTTTTCATATTGAAATATTGTACATTTTTAAAAGTAATAATTATACAATATTACGTAATTGTAATGTTTTAAATTGTTTTGGGATTGTATATTTATTGAAAAGTAGTTAAAACTTTTTTTTTCAAATAATTTTACAGTAATATTTTTTGATATCCAAAAGTAGTTTTTCCGTATTTGAGCGTATTGTAGCTGTATTTTATTTCTTTTCACAAAGCATTGTTGGCATTTTTTGTTAATGTTACAGAAATATTTATTTTTATTAAAAAATTACTATTTAAAAACCAGCAATGTTGCATTTTTGAGCAAATAAATTAATTCTTTGCTTAATTTTTATGTTATATTAAAGGGTTTGGATAATTTCTTAATCCAATACAGAGTTTAAATTTTCACATCATTTTTTCTTAAAATATAATTTAATTGCTAAATATAATATGACACAGGTTAGTTAATTCGTTACTAACCGTTTTATTTTGCAACACCAAGAAATGTCTGAACCCTGCTTTTGTATTCATCTTTTTTGCTTTGAAAATTTTAGTTAGGCATGTTTTGATGTTGTAATAGGTGATCCAGGAATATATAATTCAACAAATAGGCCCACTATGGGGTCAGCAACTGTACCAAAAATTGAAAGCGGACAAGATACCTCCAGAACAAATTGGTTGCCGCATATGCAAATACATCGTAAGATAAATACTATTTCGGTGCATTTTAAAATGGAAATTAAAAAAATGTGTTGTTACAATTTTGCTCTCTAACAGCCTGAATCTAAAAGGAAAAATTAAGAGTTGTTCCTAAATTAATTTCATTTTTTTCTATGGCAACAGATTTATGTTATTCTTAAATTTAATAAAATTTTTAAAGTAAATTTGTGAATTTCACATTTTGCCATTACCCATTTTAAAATTTACCAAATTTTTAATGTTTTTCTGCTCCTTCCAATTGATAAAAATTAGTGATAAATTGTTTTTCCCTGATAGAAGAGTCTGTTACTAAATAATCTTGCTTTTTAGTTTGAATTTTATGTTTTATTAATTGTTGCTTGAAGTATTTTAGTAGAGTTGAATATTCTAAACTATGGTTAAATGATCGGCATTTGAAGTGAAATTTAATACTTTGAATGTATCTAAAATATTGGAGTTAATTTTAAGTTTTTGGCTCAAAATCCGAGAGATGACATTTAGCCACACCAATTTCGAATTGTTTTTATGAAGTGACAAATTTAAATATGGAACTGTCTATAAACGATTTAGAACACTTTTAACTTTGCCCTAACTCGTTTAAACCATAATTATTTTAAGATTGCTTTAAGTCATAACTTCACACTCCTTTTGTTGTTTCATTATTAATTTCCTTCACATAAATATGCATTACATAATTTATAGATAGTCTCCAATATTTGTCTACTTAAAATATGCATAGACAACAAATTTAAAATATAATTATTAACAAAACTGGGTAATATTTAATTAATAAAATTATTTTTACCATTCAAAACCCTGCTTGGAAGGGGTAACAAGTAAAAAATAATGCATCTAAACGAATATTTTTTAGGCCAAAACCCAGTATACAGTTCAACACCGACACAAGCAGTACAAGAAAGACCACAAGAAGCTATACCACAAAGTTTAGGTGTGTATTAATTAAGCACAATAACACAAATTTAAATCATTTGTTCAATAATATTCCATATTTTTAGCTGCAAATTCTCCTGTTTCACCTCCTCTCCAACAAAATGGATTCAGCAGTTCAACTAGTACTGCTGTTGCATCAAATAACAATGGAACAGTCTCAGGGACACAGCCAACGAATACAATTGGACAAGCCTTTACAGGTGCAGGTGGTACTTGGACTGGTTCAAACACCTTAACATATACACAGTCTATGCAACCCCCAGACAACAGAAATCATCACACTACTTACTGTAAGTACATTAGATAAAACTACTGTTTCTTGGAGTGTACAAAACCTAAAATCTATTATTCTAGGGAATCACAACTCACCAAACCAAATAAGTTCGGAGGTCAGTATAGCTGGTCTGCTTTCCTCCCAACCCGCGCCGGAGTACTGGTGTTCAGTAGCTTACTTTGAACTAGATACTCAAGTAGGCGAGACTTTCAAAGTGCCATCAAACTGTCCAAATGTCACTATTGACGGATACGTAGACCCTTCTGGAGGGAACAGGTTTTGTTTGGGTGCCTTAAGTAATGTACACAGAACGGAACAGAGCGAAAGAGCAAGACTTCACATTGGAAAAGGGGTCCAATTGGATCTTAGAGGTGAAGGAGATGTGTGGTTGAGGTGTTTAAGTGACCATTCAGTTTTTGTCCAGAGTTACTATTTGGATAGGGAGGCTGGAAGGCAACCAGGGGATGCAGTGCATAAAATTTATCCTGGAGCTTATATTAAGGTATTTTTATTGTAATGCTTTTTGATAAAGAACTGTATGTATGGTATATTTTTTAGGTTTTTGACTTACGGCAGTGTCATCATCAGATGACAACCCAAGCAGCTACAGCCCAAGCTGCGGCTGCAGCGCAGGCAGCTGCTGTTGCTGGACATATTCCAGGGCCGCATTCAGTTGGAGGAATAGCACCTGCTATTAGTAAGTATTGATAGACATATCGATTGCCTAGAAGCAATACCTTGTAAGTACAAAATCTGTAAATAAAAGCAATAACATATAAGTGCTTTAAAAAAAATTGAAAAAAGGATTCAAGGACCAAGACAGTAAAAATGCCATACATGATATTGTATGTAACTTTTTGAAACAGTTGATTGATAAATAATATATTTATACAATAATATTATAACAGTTTTTCTTCATAACCACAAATTTTGGAAGATGTACTTACGTGTTATTGCTTCTAGGCCATCGATATCATAAATAAATTTTGAAGAATTGATCAGTTTGCATTTATTTATATGCAAAACCAATATCAAATACTATCGTGTTTTATTTTCACAATGAAAATATTGTTAGGAAAATAGAAAAATTGATTACATTCTGTAAAAGACCACAACTTTAAAATCTTTATTGATTTTCAATCATTTAATAATGAAATTAAAGAGGTCCAATATGAGTTTTTTTTTATAGGTTTGTCTGCAGCAACAGGCATAGGCGTTGATGACTTACGACGCTTGTGTATTTTAAGGTTAAGTTTTGTGAAAGGTTGGGGTCCAGATTATCCCAGACAATCCATTAAGGAAACTCCTTGTTGGATAGAAGTCCACTTACATAGAGCGCTTCAGCTCTTGGATGAAGTGTTACATACAATGCCAATAGACGGTCCTCGAGCAATAGAATAAGAGTAGAACAATATGATGATACTACACTTCTCACCACTCGAAAATATGATATATTTTCTTAAGAAGATTGCACTTCCTCAGAATTCGTGTGTGTGTTAGTAGTACTCTGATTCTAAAGACTGTTTCTTCAGATTGTCAAAATTTTTAGAAACAAAAACGTGGAGTTTAAGTGAAATAAAAAATACCATTCACAATCTTTATGGAAAATGGGTTTGGATCAAATTGTCTTACTAATTTTTATGATAATGGGACAAACTCAACTTTAACACTCATTTTTAATACTCCGAAAGTGAAAGATAAAAAATAGCATGAAACAATAAATGATGGAATATTATTAATATGCCACTTGATATTGGTTTATTAAACAAAAAAATATATTGAAAGGCTCATAAAAAATTATTTGCAATAATATATTTCAGGTGCTAATAAGTAGACTATTTTCCAAAGAGATTTAAATAGTATAAATGACAAGTATTTTTTTATCTTTTAGATTTCAGAATATAAAAAAAAAGATCGATTTTGCATATGGATGATGCAAGTCTTTTTGAAAATACTTTTTATAATTTTAAATTTGAATATTATGTATATATTACTATATTATGTAAATGCAAAAAATTGTAACTTGTATGTTTGTATAAAACATTGAAATATTTTTGAAAATGAATATTTTTCCAGGCAATGTCTAAAATTATTTTAAAATAAACTCCCGCTATTTTAAAGTCTACAAATTTTAGTAAACATTGTAACTACTTTTTTTAATCGTTGACAAAATGATTGTACATATGTCTCTTTTTGACGAATGTGTAGTATTATGATAGAACTTTCAGTATAATCGAAAGTAATTCTAAATCTAACTTTATAATGTACAGTGTTCCACTGTTACCAGCAACCTCCAATAAAAAATAAAAAAAAAACGAATTGAGTATTTTGACAAAACCATAACTTTTCGATAACGTTGCTCACGAGTTTTCATTATTCTCAGTTTATTTTTATATATATATTTTTTAGATGCATGATATTTATATACCGTAATTTTCAAGTATTTTTAAGAGAGAAAAAGTGTGATATTAAAAATACTATTCTTAAACAGAATCTTTTACTGCCCTTCCCCCTACTTTTGAGTTGAAGAAAATAATTTGTATCATTTAAAACTTAATCAAGATAACAAAACAAACACTTCTATATAAAAGGAAAACATTTATATCAGGATCAAGATATCTATTGGAAAACAATTTTATTTAATAATTATTTCTTACCTGTAACGGTTAAATTCGTTTTTTCTCAGCTCTGTCCTGAAAACAAAAATATTTCATCAATTATATTAGTCATAAAAATGTCCAACTGAAATACATTTTGCTTAATAAACATATTATGTCCGAAAACGTTTCGTTTCCAATGATAGACTTAGATACAAAGAGCACTTGCATACAGAGGAGTAGATAACATCACATCCAGGGGGTCGATTCTCGACTCGTAGGAATATTTTCCTATAGGAATTTTTGACATTTTTATGTACATCGAAAATTTATGACATTTTCCTACATATAGGAAAGTGTCACAAATTCCTATAGGAAAAGGTTCCTACAAGTCGAGAATCGACCCCCAGGTGGATGGCTCAGCTGTTATCTACGAGAACTGCAGAGACACAGATAGGGCAGGATACCATCTCCATCTGCACAACCAGAGGATGTCCACATGGAGTAGTTCTATCCACACTAACCGTAGACGAACTTCTATGCAGATTGACTGACCTCTGCATACCCTGTCAAGGTTATGCCAACGACATAGTCATATTTGCTAGTGGCAGCCCTCTACATTTGATGATAGAGAATGTGGCAAAAAGGACACGATATAGAATGATCAGGAACGGAGTAATCAGACGAAAGTCTACTTGCTTCAGGACTAAAGATACCTGGGACATGCACCAGGATGAAATGCTAAAGAAATACAGTTTTGTGAAAAACTTCAAAACCACAGAGCTGGGCTGCAAGAAAGAATGGAGCCAAGAATCCATCGCGCTTGCAACCGAAAGACGTGCTATTCAGTGGTATACGGACGGTTCCAAAACCATAGAAGGAACTGGAATAAGAGTATATGAGCCCAGAACCAAGCACTCCGAAAGCTTGGGAAAATACCCAAGCATCTTTCAGGCGGAAATTCACGCCATCGAGAAGTGTATCCAGTTTAACATCGAGAGAAACTATCATAGACAAGAGATTATCATCATGTCCGATAGTCAAGAAGCCATTAAAGTGCTGAGCTCTTACGTAATCAGCTCAAAAATGGTCTGGAGATGCCTAGAACAATTGAATGAGCTAGGCGAGAAAAATAGAGTTACTCTCACTTGGGTCCCGGGACATAACGGGGTACAGGGTAACGAGATTGCAGATAGTCTTGCAAGGAAGGGGCTCAAACTCCCTTTGTAGGACCTGAGCCGTTCTGCGGTATCAGCAGTAACATAATATTAGGAGAGATTAAAAAAGAATTGGGCAGTAGAAAAACCGATAATTGGAACAATCTCTTGGGGCTGAGACAGGCCAAGATACTTCTGGGTGAATATTACCAGAAAATATCGGAAGCCTGCATCTGCCTGAGCAAGAACAAGCTACGTGTTGTAACAGGGATCCTTACCGGACATTGCCGACTAAAAGGACACCTAAGTAAACTGAGAGTAGTAGAGGATAGTAAGTGCATATTCTGTGAGGAGGAGGACGAAACGTCCATTCACATCCTAACTGAATGTGTAGCACTCCAGAATCCAAGGGCACTATATCTAGGAGGATATCAAATAGAAGAGGGAGGTTTACCTAACTTGAAGCCACTTCAAATCCTACACTTCCTTGAGAAAATAGGATTGGAAGGGTCGTTATAGGCATTGAGACATTTCCCTAGTGCATTGGCGACAGAAGGGGGTACAATAGATCTTTTAGGTCGCAGTGTATTAACACCCCATTCCCAACATAACATAGATATAAGCTAATAGATCCAAAAGATAGATATCAACACACTGAAAATTTCATTAAACTTGGTTAAAAATTTTGGGACATGTTTATTCAGCAAAAATGCTTGTTTTAATGTCCCCCTACTGCCACTAAAAGTTTATGTCGATGTATTTACAGGATACTATGTATACATGTAATAGGTTAATTCGAATGCCAATGGAATTTGTACTAAGGAGAAAATACAAATATACTTTTCACAAAAAGTATCGCATAATTTTGTTACTTCGTATTTTGTAATTTTTGTAGAATGATTGTTATTTACATTATTTTTGCCTGTTATTCTTTGAATATTTTTAATTATAATCAAATGAACCACTGTTAAACATTCCTAAGTTTCATTACTTGCCATTTCAGTTCAGTCAGTCAATCTATTTATGCAATACTTTTTGTGATGAGTATATTATATTAAACTATATGGAAATATAAATCGGAGGGTAGCTACCCCTCCTGCATATAGTTCTAAAAAATCTTATTAGGTAAAACTAAATTAGGTAAGATGTTTTCGATTCAATCTATGGATAAAATTTGTAAAATAATAAAAGTCCCGAAGCTAAAAACAAATATGGAATACTTTTATTAAGTTCCCAGTTCATACTAAACTCTATAGGACCAGACCGAAGAAATAGAAATCTCAATCTGACAATAGGCAAAGAGTGGCAATAGAACTTTTTTACTTGCTGAGTTATTATAACGTATAAAACATGTTATTGTTGTTATACAATAACTATTTCGATTAATTAATTGTTGAATAAATAAATATATCTCAGTCCTTTTCTTGATATAACATTAAAAAAGGGTTTTATTTTCTTTAAATTTTTCTGCTCACTTCTTTATATTTCAAGCGCTCTTTTTCTATAAATAGTATAAAAATATTGTAATTCTGGCCCCCTGGATAAATTCCTGCATACGGCCATGGAAAGATACAGATTTGAATACATTTCTAACAAGCTTAATTATTATTTAAAAAAACGCTGAAGTTCTAAAAGTACCTGCTAAAAATGATTCTGATCTTCTGTCTTAAACCGGCATAATTATATTAAATATTATGTACATTTACGATTATAATTATATAAAAATATATTAAATACTTCTTAAAGAAGAGTTTGACTATAATATTCTCAACTTACCCACAATATTTTCGCACATTTTCACAAATATCATAACCATATACCGCACAAATTTCAAACGCCAAGATGGTGCCGAAAAACAATCGACGATCGTCCAAATGACAAGCATTGAATTTTTTAGCCAATCACGTCTTTTTATTTCGGCTTTCTTGCCTACTGAAGTTTTTTTAAAGTTGATTACATAGCAGCAGCGAATATTTTTTAAGTTGGCGATTCAAATAATTTTACCGCGCTGTGTAAGTAGGTAAAACACATTACAGTGTTGTCATATCAATAAATTTATTTAACAGTCGTTAAAAACATACGATAACATACCAAACAAAAAAAATCATAAATGAAAAACCATATCAACATGAAATTTTTAGTAAAAACTAAACTCGACAAGGGAATGAAGCCTATATTGATTCTAAAAAAAGAAAATGAATAAAAATGGGGGGATAAAGGGGTAAAAATATTGAAAAAAATCCTAACTCAGAAACAAAAAACGTTATCAAATTGAAATTTTCAGAAAATATCAAGCTTTATAAAGGAATGAAGCCTATTGATTCTAAAAAAAATCTGAATAAAAATGAAGGGTTGAGGAGGGTTGAAATATTTAAAAAAACGAAAAATAATTATAACTTAAAATTTTTAGCAAAATCAAGCTCTGTAAGGGGAAAAAGCCTATTGATTTAAAAAAAAATGTGAACAAAATGGGGGTTAAGGGATGTTGAAATTAACAAAATAGAAATCAAACACCAAAAGCGATATCAACATGAAATGTTTAGTAAAAATCAAGCTCTATAAGAGAATGGAGCCTATCAATTCGGAACAATCTCTGAATAAAAATGGGGGTTGAAATAGTGAAAAAATCCTAAATTAGAAACTCGAAATGTTTAGCAAAAAACAAGCTATGGGGTCTATTCTGTAACTATAGTTGTTATCTGACAACTTTCTAACCACTTGCTATCTTACCACTTTCATAGCAACTGTATATAACAAATTTGACACAAGTAGCTATTCAGTAAGTATTCACGATTGCTAAATTAGTCTATGCTGTATTATACAGCTATGCTACCGACTAAGTTGCTATGATCAAGGTCAGTATTAACACTTATTTGAGAAAATCAGAATTCTCTAAGTAAAATCTGTAACAACTAGTGGTTACAGTGTTATTTGGAAGCAACCAAATATTCTTGATAGTTAATCGTAGCAACTATTAAAAAAGAAATATTATCGACCCTGGATAATAAATATTTTAATAGACCAAGAAATT